CTCTCTCTTTCTCTCTCTTTCTCTCTCTTTCTCTCTCTCTTTCTCTCTCTCTCTTTCTCTCTCTCTCGTTCTCTCTCTCTCTCTCTCGTTCTCTCTCTCTCTCCCCCTCCTCTTTTTTTCTTTGATTTTCTTTGTTTTTTAACTAGATTGTATTAAGAAAACAGTGAACTAATTCTGTATTACTTCTCAGGTTAATGGTGTGAACGGACTAACTGTGCCAAACTGCTCCTGTCATCAAGATGATACCAGCCAGTTTGCAAGTGCTTCAGCTGGATTGTGTGATACAGACAGGACAGTCGGGGGACAAGGTGCATTGTGCATCTCAAAACTCAATACTTGTGTATTAAGCACATTAAAAATTTAAGTTTTCTATGAAAACGTCCATAATATATAATTGCATCCTTTTTTTATTAGAAAAAAAAAGACTATATACACTCTTAAATTGTATACTAGATTAGCAGTGGTAAAATCGAGAGGGGAAAGGGCTCCCAGTGTAATATTTTGGTATATTTACAAACTACAAAATTTATATTGTCCCTTCCCATGTTTTAAGTGTACTGCAGTCTGTGGTTCTGTGGACCACGTCCATAAATTTGCTAATTTTGCCGATCTTTATTGTATGTCACAACCATTGTGCAAACCTTCCCCTCAGCTGCTGTTGGCATGAATACCTGAAGGCTAGTTATGGAGGTTCATTCCCTGCATTGTCTAATCCTGTAGAAATTTAAAAAACAAAATGCAAAAAAATTCCCAACAAGATGTAACAACTTATGCTACTGTCTACAGACTAGCAGAAAGTCCAAGCAGCAGAACACGTGTGTCAGTACCTTTTTAGGGGAAAGCTTATATCATAAAAGACCAATGAGTAATTACTGTGAAATAAAATATTTATCTCTTGGGCTAGAAATGTGCGATATTTATCAGGTGCAATCCACTTCACGCTTTTGCGAGGTGTGTTTTAGTATCTAATAGGAAGAACGCTCTCAGGATAGTTTGTAGCCTCTCCACTTGTGCAATACATTGCATTCAAGAACTGGAGTATTATCCTTGCAATCCTGCCAGGGACTTTCTCATGATCTATGGACAGTAAGACACAGGCAAGAATTTGAAGTGCATCATAACTATCTCATTTTTATTGTATAATAATTGTGATTACTGTATTATTTCATTTATAAGACAGCCTAATTTGTGACTAGTTTCGTAATGTATGTTCAGGATCTGAATTTTGAAATGTACAGTTCTTTAAATATAATGCCATGCAAGGGTCTGGACCCATTATTGGAAGAGTATCAAATAATTTTGTACTATGATGTTTTACCGTACTTTCCTGTTGAAGAATGAATAGTCAAGGTTTAATGAATCCCCAGACCGTCACATGTGTGCATGTATGCACATATGCATATATGCATGTCTGTTCTTTGTTGCTAACTTCAGCTTTCAAGAAAGAGAGAATCCTCCTTTTCAGTTTAAAAATGGGATATTACAGGTTTATACATACCTGTTTCGACTACTCCATTAAAAATCAGATTAATCTTTTGAACACCTAATCCAATTTGGGGTTTTGTGAAGTTATAAAAATATATCTTTTCCGTTCTTGTTACTCCAAATACCGTTACTATATGATTTGGTGTAAAAGCAATGATATTTTGCAACTATTTTCATTTTATTGGTTGCTAAACCGAGATGTCTCTTCCACTACACTTCCTTTTCTCCTTTTCATACGTTTTATGATGTTGAAAACATTTGAGAAAATAATTTTGTTTTTTTAAACTTATTATGACTTTTTTGAATAATGTCTTATTTTGTGATTTAATACAGTAAGTACATAATGCAGTCATTTTTCTTTAGTTGGCAGAAAACTAATTTCTTTGAGTGATAACCAGCCCATTGATCAGCGTAGAATACAACACGCAAGCATGTTGGTTATATTTCTTATTTAACCACTGCAAGTGTTTTGATAGTGAATCTATTGATCAGTATTGTTGATGTGATAATGTGGAGGGTAAATGGCAGTTGTCTTGGCCGACATATATTCAACAGAAATGTTTGTCATATACGTATTTTTCTTTCATTTAAAATCTGAAATTGTGTTTCTAATGTTCAGTTTATTTCTTCAGTGATGTGAAGAACAGTGTTGCGATGTTGCACAGATAATGTATCTGAATTGCAATTAATCCTTTTTCAGAAGTTTCAGATTTTAGTTATTAACATTCTCCATCAAGTCAAGTGGATTATGTGGTAACATTTTCCGTGAATTAATGGTATTTACCAAACATACAATCTTAGAATGTATATTTCTGCAATTTCTGTGTTAATATAATGATATACCTGCCACCTAATGAGAAATGTACTAAATAATACCAAGCAAATTATTTTTGGTCCCAAGAAACTAACTACAGTTTTTGTGAAATCCTGCCAAAATGTAATATTTGATTTGTTTTATTTTTTAAAATTTATTATGTAAATGGAACCTATTGAACATTGACAAAATGTTGAATGCTGTAAAATTCTTATAATCCAGGTCATGACTTCCTAGTTGATATTAAAAATTTATAAGTGATGTGGGCAAAGTAACATGATGTCCATGGAGATTGTGTCAGCCGGACTTGTTTCTGAACTTGTTTGTTGACAAGTTGAAATAAATAATGGAATAACTGAAACCGTTGACGTATTTTTTAATTAAATATTTTACATTTGAAATAATATTCTTTTAGAAAAGTTATAATTTTTATTTTTATACATTTAATCTTTTATTTAACAATTGTTTTGCAATGAAAAAACTCCAGTTAGGTGATTTTTATTTTTGTGACTTTGGATTGTTGCAATTTTACTGCATTATTTCAATGCAATGTATAACACATAGCTTGCCAGTCTCATACATATTGATAGTTCCCTAGTTATGGAATGCTATGGTATTCCTATTTCTTTGACCCTTAATTCCCTCGCATCATGAGCCTGTGCTATTTTATGCCAATTGTCATACATTTGTAAGTAGTAAACACACTTTGACTTCTTCCTCACCTCTCCCAGTTCTTCACGACCCATATGCCACAATCTAGTTTTTGTTTAATGTTTGTTTGTTGTAATTTATTTCTAGTAACACGAATTGAATGGTGTTGTTGAATGTATGATAGCGATATTGGCAGCAGTTTTCATTAATAGGACTGCTCAAAGGTGTTCCTAAACGTCTTTTTTCACGCTGTCTTTCAGTACTACCAGATCCTTAATATCAGGGAGATGGTAAAGCGTGTGTGAACGCTGAATTGTGATATCCAACTTTCAAACTTTGTTTTGTGATTTAAAAAACATTGTTAGACGCATTTGCTCTTGTGCAATAAGCCGTACCCAGGGTCTCTCTCCTGTAGATGCTGGCCAGGTCAGGATGAGAAAGTTCATTGTATTTCTGATCTCCCATTACACATAAGTCGATGGTAGTGGGAGGTTTTTATGAGAAAATGTTTGTATATGTGTGCGTATGGTTACTTGTATATAATCATGCATGTGTATATGCTTTTTTAGCATGTGTGAGTATGTATATTTTGCAAAAGTGTAAATTGTTTTATGGTGCAATTGGGGGCCCATAGATAGTACTGAGCACTAGATTGGTTGCGTGGAATTGCGTTATGTCATTCAAATACATTCAGGACTGAACATACAAAATTTTTTCTATTTAATACTAATTCACATAATTAGTAACATGTGGGCAAGTATACTTTTTGGGTTTAAAGATGCTACTGTTAGAGCTGGCTCTGAGTTACACAATATTGTATTTTTATCTCTTTCCCCACATCAAATGCACAACTTATGAAGAATTACAGTAGAGTCTCAATTATGGCAATTAGAACTACAATCTCCCATTCACTGGTGTAACTGGTGAAGTTTGTTTTGAAGTTTTTTAATGTAGTGACTTGATTTGATGAGGTAAGATTTATTCGACTGATTTGAAGCTACTAATATAAATGGCTTTTGAATGTACCCTATTGATTGTATTGAATTTTTACACTTCCAAGTTCTGTATAGAAACATAATTTTAGAAAGTCTGTTGTGGATTATAAATTTTAGGGGAGGTAAACTTTTTGATATGGTTGAAATGCATTCATTTTTTTAAAATTGGACTTATTTTGAACTAATTATCGAGAATATGTTCAATGTTGAATGATTGTTAATTGGAATATCATTTTTTACAAACTGTTTTTTGTAAATGTGCAGGTCATATCTTTAGAATGTTATGTTACATGTAGTTGGTAATTTACATTACTGATGCACATTTTTTAAGTTTTATCATGTTTGCATAATAGAGTTGATCCTGAGTTTGTTTAGTGAAACTTAAATTTTATTTAGGAAAATTGAACTTTCTTATGAACAGTATATAGTATTTATCTTGACTGAAAAAAAAAAAAAGTCATGGTTTTGTACTTCATTGTCTTCCAATTTCATGAGAAATCTATATTTTGTTGTAATAAAACTTACATCAGTCTATCTTAATATTTTACGCATTATGTTTAAGAAAACTAACTAATTTATGACATGGAGTATGAGTATGTAGAAAATAAGTACCTGGACATCACTTCTCATAGATAACCAAATTTTGAAGGCTGATCACCTGAAAAAGAAAGCAACTAAATTAATGATCATATATTTTTATGAATACAGTAGTTTCTTTGATGAGAAAATTTACTAATTCTTTGCATTAAAACAGTATTTTTCACTTCTAAAGTTTGTGTTACGAATGAGTGTTTTAAAATAACATGTAAGTGGAAAATTTGTTGCACTTGCTTTTTTAAGTAGCAGGTCTAGTGCACATAGAAATTGAATACCCAGTTGATACAGAAAGTGTGGGGAACAAATGATCTTAGAAACTGCTAATATTTATTTGTGGTATTGAATACTGTTTTTTAGTGTAGTTGAGACTCTGCTGTATTTCTTTTTATTGATGAAGATTGTTCTCAGTTTGTATAAATTGTTTTAAAGAGAGCTGCTTTTTAAACAAATCATTTTTAAATAGTTTGCACCAAGTATTTTGGTGCTAATTGTCTTTAAACTCCCCTCGTGTGATATTTCAAATATGTAATTTTTTTAATTAGTTAGTACACATTTTGAATAGGTATAAATGAAAATCGTCTTATTCAGGGAACAGTTATTATTAGTTATCAGGTAATAATAATAATAATAATAATAATTCACAAGAGTGAACTTAAACTGCATATTGAATAGAAGCAATTTTTAACTCTCAATTACAGTATTAAATTATGTGGTAGTAAGATAATTGTTCTCATCAAAATCACCCATTTTTAGTAGTGTCATGACAAATGGATTGCAAGAATGAAGAATGCAGTGGAAATCCATTTTAATATTGCATTTTCATGAGGAAGAAAACAAGGAAGTTGAGTTTGAGAATTGTGATTGGGTGGTTGTAATAAAAATTAAAAATAAAAACAAACTGTATCTCTCTGCTGTTCAGTATGATTGTGTAATATATGCATTCGTTGCATACTACAAAATATTCAAGGCCATGGGTTCTATTATTGGGTGTATTTTATTTTATTTGTTTTTTAGAATAGAAAAGCTCGTTTAAAATATTAATGCTTTAATTACTGCTATTGCCATATAAATATTTGAGCAATGTAGTGTATGAAAGTAAATGGTGCAATGTCATGACATTGCTAGAAATGGGAAATCTCATTTAAAATTTATTTATAATTTTCCATATATTTATAGTAATTTATTTTAAGATCTGCACAGAAGTTTGAGTAGGGCATTATTTTATTGAGAACAGTTATTTTAAAGGTTTGTTTTGTTGATGATTTGTGACCAAAGACAGCTATCAGTTCTTCCCTTTTAGTTTTAAATACAATAATTTCAATTTGATACAATAAGTCCTGTTTATATTTGAACGTCAGAGTACAAGAGTTCAATGAGAATTGTGGAGTCTTGAAGGAAGAATGCATTGAGTAGTATGCTGCATGGTGCTGATAACGGTGTGATTGTGTTCTTCCTTCAAGATTCTTGTTGCCAAAATTTAGACACATTGTGTTTTATTTAGGCTCACGAAATATTTTGTTCGTTCTTTTACATTGTAAGTTAATGATCTTGTCCACATTCCTTGTAGTTTTAATTTGCCTGTCTTGCAGTACAATGAAATGTAACTTGATTTACGTGTCTCTCTGAAAAAGGCATGTTTTATATAGACAAAAATGTAATGAATCAGTATATTAATAGACAAGAATCACATGTCAAATTAACACAATGATCATGTTTTGAAGAAAAAATGACACAAGTGTTCTTGTATATTTCCAATTTTAAACAGCTTGGTTTTTGAAGGATTTCTGCTATTCCTCATCAGTTTCATATACAAATCATTGGTTGACGTTAATTTGTTCTGATATATGAGAAAACTCATTCAGTATTTTATTCTTGGTAAAATTAAGAGAAAGTTTCTTCACTTATATTTTTAATGTTTTGAAAATGTAAATCCAGCCTGAAGCTTGAAAGCATTTAAGTGTGGTTTTTCACAGATAATGACTTTGTATTGACTTCATGTACTTTTATTGAAATGTATTGGAATGTAAGCCTTTCAAAACCAAGCTGCCTCAGTTTTGTTTTGAGGAGCCTATGTAACTATCCCTAAATTAATTTTGTAAAAAAAAAAAAAAAATATACATCCTTTGATCTTGTATTTGGAGTTACTGTGTCACTAGTATAAAGTAATGCTATTTACGGGTTTTCGCTGACAAAAAGAACCTGGCTGGGTGTATAGAACATAGGGACGGGCAGATTGCAAAGTAATGTGTAGGATGAACAAGAGTGAGTGCATACCATTTGTATTTGTGTAAATAGCTGTCTCATGCAAACATTGCAAAAAAAATAATAATAAAATTTGAAACAGAGTGATGTGTACTGTTTCACTTCCATTACTTCCTTATTTGATTTTTGGAAACATGTTATTTATCCACAATCTCATTCAATATAAAAACAAAATCTCAGTATTGCAGAATGGAGAGGCCTTTGGTCTTGTCTATCGGTCCTATAGTCCGAAGGCAAAATTGTTGGAAAACAAAATGTCGATTGTGTTTTGTTCGGTATATCGATCATGTGTTGGTGTAGTTCGTATGGACGATGATAGGTAGCATTAGTATCGGCCACTGGAAACATTTGCCGATCGGCTGAAAAAATTGTAATTTTAAGAGCGTTGATGTCCGGCATTCTATATTTAGATGGTGAGTTTTCTTGGCCTTTATAGCGTATTTAGTTGTTTTATCTCGTTGATAAAATTGCTCATAATTTTTCATTAACGGCCACGTTGCATCTTTGGCGTTTGATTTACTACGTGAGATAATGTGCAAACTGAAATAGACTGCATTGTAGCTTTGCAGCGGAGGTGGAACATGGCCTCCCGTTGAATTCCATAGCCAGATTAATATGACAGGTGTGAAACCCACTGTTTGCCACAACCCTGTCCACCATAGAATCGAATTTTCATTAATGTAATCTTCTTAAGCACTTATGTCATTTTGAAGTTATCAAACAAGTTGAATGGTATTCATAATTACCACCTTGAAAGTGAGGGGTATGTTTGGGGGCTGTTGGCCTCAGTGTGATGAGTGATTTTGAAGGAAAATCTGTCCTGCCCAGGTGTGCTGATTCGGGATTAGCGTTGGCCGTGCCACATCTGCTCCCCATCAAATTCCAAAGGTAAGTTATTTGGTTAAATTTTGTGTGAAATAAAAGTTTGTGTTCATTGCACTATCTTGGGCTATTTTAAAAACAATGTAAAGAGGTTCTCATTTGGGTTAAATACTTCTACTTGACCATGGAGCAAACATTATTTTTGGATTGGGCTTTTTGAAAACTAGATGGCTGTGTGACAGTTCAGATTAACTGTGTTATTGTTTCCTGTTTTGTGGGTAGGGTAAACACAGTGATTGTTTCAATATTGGCCAGGTTTGAGGTAATGTAATGTATTTGTCCATTGAATGTTCCCATACAAATATTGTTTCAATGGATGTGATTAGTTGTATTTGAAACTTGATAAAACCAATTGTTTTGGAATATTTATAAGATGTGAAATGAGACTTAAGCAAGTAGATGTTCAGCACTTTGTTTCTAACATTACTGGGACGAATTTCAGAGGAACAGTGATGTGTAGCAAGAATAAAGTTCTTATTGCTTCTGTTTGCAAGTGAATTAAGCAGTGTGATAGATTTGAGTAAATATCACTAACAAATTTGTGAATATGCATTCATAAACAATTGGTTTTCGTGTAGTGTAGTAATAAGCGGCAAGAAAAATTATATCTTGCTGTGTGCAGTTTTCATTGTTCCCTATATTCTGTTGTGGTTTTTTTTATTGGTGATGGCAAAATTTGTTCTAGATAGATTTTTTTTTTTTAAATAATAAAGTTCACTATTTTTTGGAAGTAGTTAAGAAAGGTAACAATTTTTAAAAACCAATGACTAGTACTTTCATTCATAGTTGTGTAATCTTGATAAGTAGGGTTAGGAGCTCACAAAAAAAAATTAATCTGGTTGGTACTAATGTTTCTGTGGTATTCATTCAGATTATTTTGTGTACGAAATAAAAATGAGGGAAGTTTAAAAATGTTAATGATACGTTTTTGCATTGAAGTTCTTTGTAAGTGCATGACAATGGTTTATAATATAAATTTGTTCAAAACAGTCTTAAAGACTTGATTTATTGTGAATCAAATATTTTAGAATAACAAGTTTACTTGGAGAAGTTTATTGAAAACGTATCTTTTCACAGTGTTTTGTCATTGTTTTTGAAGAACATACTTGGTGCCTAAAAAATTTGAGTGATTTCTCTTAACAATTATTAGTGATTCATTTGTTATGATTTATTAAAATGTGCCTTTATTTAAAAAGTGCCTTTATTTAAAAATAACATTAAAATATGTTGGGAATATGTATTGAAAAATGTTAATGTAGTATGAACTGAAATATATTGTAGTTAGTTATGCTTCCATCTGCTTCAGAGTTGAGAGCTTATATTAGTATTTAGTATATTCTTTATGTTATGTAAACGTGTGGAAGTGATGCCCATGTGTCCCTCTCTTTGCAAACTGTTCTGTCTTTTTAGTTTGCTTGTCGTATAGTATTTTTGAAATAAATACCCCAAAATAGAATATCCTACATGTTCACATAAAGAAATACTTTAATGGAGAATTGTTGTGAGCATTTCATTGACATTTAATGGAAGGAATAAATCTGTAGAAAGAAGATCATTAACCTAGGTTTTGATCATGTCTGTTTCTGTAGTCCATTATTTTCTTTGTTACTAGTGAGGTGTTTCTAATGTTTCCCTCGCTTCTTCGATCTTTCCTTTTCTCTGTTCTTATTTAGTATTTTGTTGGGTTTTATGTTTGTATTCTTTTGATGTACCTCTGTTTCTATTCTCGTTTTTTGAGTATGTGTGATAACTTAAATATGTACTGTATTCATTCTTGGGAGTCATCCCACAATTGCAAACATCAGAGACAGATGCAGAGTGTATCAGGGAAGAGAGGGAATTCAACCCACCCCCTTAAAATTTTTTTAAATAACGTTTTAGAAAATAATATAACCTGAAAATATGTGTATTTATAAATGGTATACTCCTTCTGAATGTGTGATGTGATATATACAGAGTAATTATTTTAAATAAATGGAGAGAAAAATCTCTCCTTGGAATCTTACACTGACAAATTTTCCACATTTTTAAGCGTTTGTCGCATGTTTGTGTTGGCAAAAGTAGTCAATTTTGAGTGACGGCCATGTCTAGGAATTCAAGGAATGTCAGACAGAAGTAGCAATATTAGTGTAGGGAATAATTTTGACAGAATTGGAACTTAGAAAACTAGGGGTTTATTAATTTATTAATCTGCCTATTGTCAACAACATATTAATCTGCATATTCAATTTTCTCAAAAGGACAATTTTCTTGCTAAAAAAAAACAACAAAAAACAACCCAACAACATTAATTACTGTGTTTGAGCTAGTAGAAAACTTGTTTCTACACATAATCCGCTTCGACATCATGGAATGACATCATGGGATTTCTTGACAAATTAAGCTGAAATCAAATGAGATGTTTCTACAGTAGCTTACTTCTTCTGGTAACAGAATGCAGATGAGCAATTATATATTAAGGGAGTAAATGGGACCAAAAATAAAATGAAAAGCAGAAGCATGGTCAACGTACAAATTTGACCCGCAGTACCCTAAGATTCCCTGGCTTGAAAGATGCTGAGAAAACTGGCAAAAAAAGGACGTGCGAGAGACGATTACATCCTCGCTGGCGGGAACATGTCTGCAAGAAGGCCGTCGCGCTCTCGTTTGCCGTCCTGGTGCAAGTACGAAGTACGTTTTGTCGCTTTCAAGAGGAATACAGTAGAACCTCGCTAATCCGAACAAAATTTGGGATGGAGGAAAAATAAATAAAATGCTGATATGTAGGGTAAGAAAAAGATTTTGTAATTACTGTTGATCTAAACAATTATTGAAACACTTGTCGAAATGAAACGTTTATTGCACTGGTAACTACAGTGTACATCACATATTTATGTAGCAGTAATTTTCTCTTAGTGAAATTCACAAAACCGGTAACCGTTTGCCGTATGGAACTGAATCTGCTTGTTGATGCGATCGCTAGGTTATGTTGCCATTTTCTGGGGCAACGAAATAAACCCTTGTCGATCTAGACTGAGTCGCTCTGCGATTTTGAAACATTTTCAAAATTGGCTCAAAATGGTTCGAAATTTTTGGCGGAGGTGATATGCGCGGTGGACTGTAAATTGGCAAGTCTGTTGCACATTACTCGTCATCCTTTCATAACTAAATTATTCCCTGGGACAAAGAACCACTACAATTGGAAGCTTGTGGAACTTTAATATAGCTGAAAGCTAATTAATTGGGAGTGTGTCACCATCACTTAGAAATAGAGGCAGTATAGTTAATACATGTAATTGAACCTCTAAATTATTTCAAGAAATTAAATGATGTACCTGGTATGCTGCATGAAAGCACGTAATACTGTAAAAAATAACACAAAACGTTACGTGCTACAACTGGAAAAACTGCCGTGTGTGTTGATGCACCGAGTAGCTCGCTTCCAGATCCGTCCAGGTAGGGAGTTTCTTGTTGCGCCCAGTGGTTGAGGCAGGCACATTGGCAGGCCTGCCATACGGCAGAACATGCTGGAATGTTCGCGATACATAAAAGAAACATGTTCTTGCTAGAATGATTGCCTACACAGTCTCTGTTTAAGAAGGAAGATCAACCCAGTACTTTTGTGCAGTGTGCGAACGAGATAAATTGCTGCAACATAAATTAACAGTTCTTTAGCGCGTATACACTCACGCGCGATGTAATTAGTTCACAGTCCGGCAATTGTAATCAGATTGATTAGTTCGTTGTAAAGCACATTGAACTACTGAAGGGACAAATCTTACACGCGTAAATATTTAATACGTAGTGCTGTAAGGAAATCAGGAAATGTCAGCGAGATGGCAAGACACAGGAGTGCAAAATGCCACTGTGCTGTAATTGATTCTTAAAGTAACGTAATCCGCTCAAATGTCGTACAATACACTATACTATTGCCCTCAGTGCTCGCGACAAGGTTTTCTCTCGAACAGACTGCAGCAGCGCGGAGCGTGGCGACGGCG